CCCCGACCTGAGGTCAGCAAAGCTGTGGCAGCTTTTCACAGGAGCTGGGCTAAGAACAACAACAACAACAATAATAACAGCAATTAACCATAATGAGACCTTGTCTGCAGCAGGTTGTTCCTGGAGCTTTGTTAGGCATGAAGTCATGAATTCCCCTGGCCCCTCAGGGCCACATTTTTCTAGAAGGAATGGAGGTGAAAGAGGACACAGTTAATCCTGTGCAGTTCAGACTCTTGCCCTTGGCTGGCAGGTTGGTTCACACACAGAGGGGTAAAATCCAGGGCTCCTTTACGTTTCCATAAACGGTACCATCTTTTGCCTTTATTTAGAGTCTCTGAAATAATGCTTCAAAGGGGCGCATACAGAAACGTAGGAGTCCACCAGATGGCTAACTAGATGGCTAAACCACTTAGATGGGAGATCGCAAGTCCCGCCTGACAGCACCAGACTGCACAGTATGCTGCATGGAGAGTGGCCTGGAGATGACCTGGAAGTGGCCATCTGCTGGAAGCCCTAACTGGTGGCAGGGCTGAGCCTCAACCAGCAGACAAGGTAAGTTGGAGGACTTCAGGTGTTTGCCCCCCACAGAACAAGGAGGGAAGTTTGGAGTGAGGGCTAGAGGTGCGTAAGAAGAGGAGGGTCATTCTAGATTGGAGCAGTCACATGGGATGGCGCCTGGGAGCCAAACCTCGAGCAAACCTTAGTACCAACAGTGACTAGCCTGGCAGATATCAACCATTCTTTCCTGTGTGTGTTTCATGTAACAGTGCTGCAAATTATACACACCCAATCTGAAGACAGACTTTCCTTCATATCCCATAGATGGTTAAGAGTCAGCATCGTTATCCTAGTCAAGATCAAAGAGATCTCGATATAGTTAAATAGAACAGATATGCTGGTCACCCTTAGGTTGTGGAGTAGCAGGGATTATGTGCCCCATTCATGAAGAGGAGCTGAATGTCTTTGAATCTCAGAGGTGGGCAGGAGAAGAAATTGTCACAGCTGAAGTGCCATCACCATTCATGTCAAGGAAATAAGAGGGACCCGTCCTCACTATTCTGACCCTTGCCGTCCCTCGAGAACCACAGCCTTCCCTCCCTTCCCTGTGTTACTACAAAGAAAGTCACCTGTAAGAAGGTCCTCGAACTTTCAGGGCTTGAATACCAATTGACCTTGTTAATGGCCTCAAAGAACATACATAGTGTTACACGGTGAATTTAGGGAATGGGATGTTCTGGTTAGTCAAACAATCTGGTTTTGAAAGTAGTACTAAACATATAGTAACATTTGAGACATACTAAAATTGTTCATCACTTATCTGAAATTCAAATTTAACTGAGTGTCCTGTATTTTATCTACTTGCTGGTAAATCTCAAAGAGATCCATAGCCACTTTTTTTGGAGCTCCTTAGAGAAAAAAGCAGCAGGAAGGAGAGAGATACTTTGGTAGCCTGCATTCATTGGAACTAGGAATGCAGGGACAGAAAGGATAGGGGAGCAAGAAACCCCAGACCAGGCGCCCATTGACTCTGAGAAGCACACTTACCATCACACTAGATGTGGCGGAGTCTTTGGCCCCACGTCAAACTAAACAGTTTTTTTTTTTTACAGAGATCTCAGGGAAGAAAGCCTAAGACAGAACATCACCTACTCTCTAATATTATCCAGCACTCAGATGGACCCCTAGCTGAGAGTGGGAACAGACAGGGGCAACTTCCGTCCCTCGTTTCATTTCGCCAGCAGAGAGGAAGAGGTGAGCACTCCATTGAGAAACATGGTGCCATTCAGAGGGGCTGCATGCTCCTCCTGTGCCAGAGAATCCCCTGGTGCCTGGGGACCTCCTTCCCTATCATGTTGGGTGTTGATGGTCCTGTGGAAATGGACCCCCTATGAAACTAGGTTCTGCTCTGTGTGGCATTGACCATGAATGTCTTTTTCCTGACTGGGTTGTGTTCTCAGCATGTACTGGGCACCAAGATGTTCCCAATTTATTGAGTACTTTCCACTGTCCTGTTTTACCTCTTATCCCACGCAGTCCTTCCAACTGCTCTTTGAGTAGGTATCTCCATTTCACAGATGAGAAAACCGAGACAGAGAGAAATGAAGTAGGAAACGATGTAAGGTCACATTAAGTCTCACGTGGCAGGCTCAGGATTGAACCCAGGTAGTCAGACTCCTAAGCCTGCTCTTTTGACCATAATGCTATACTGCCCAGAATTCCAATTCCGTCACCCCACTCTCCTGCTCAGAATTCTTGAGGTGGGGAGGGTATAGCTCAGTAGTAGTGTGCATGCCTGGCATGCATGAGGTCCTGGGTTCAATCCCCAGTACCTCCATTAAAAAAAAAAAGAATTCTTGAGTGGCTTATTCTGTGATAAACAGGTTAATGGAGCCCTAAAGATGTCCACATCCTAAACCCTGGAACCTGTGAATATGTTACCTTACCTTGGTGAAAGGGACTTTGCATATGGGATTAAGTTAAGGATCTTGAAATTCGGACCTTAGCCTGGATTATCCGATGGGTCCAATCTAACCACAAAGGTCCTTCAAAGAGAGGCAGGAGCATTAGAGTCCAAGAAGGAGATGTGACCATGGAAGCAGAGGGCAGAATGGTGTGGCTGCTGGCTTTGAAGATGGGAGAAGAACATGAGCCAAGAAATGTGGGCAGTTTCTAGAAACTGGAGCGGGCGTAGAACTGACTCTCCCCAAGAGCCTCCAGGAGGAACACATCCTACTGATGCCCTGATGTTGTCTCAGTGCAACTTCTGACCCCAGAACTGTCAGTAAACCTGTGTTGTCTGAAGCCACTAGGTTTGTGCTTATTTGTTACAGCAGCAGCCAGAAACTAATACAGCTCCCCTTGCTTAAAGGGAAATCTGAACTGCTTTGCAAGGCAATTAAGGGCCTCATGTTCTCTTCCCCTTGGCTGACTGCCTAGCTGTTAGCTCATGGCCACCCCACTCCCACTCCCACCCCCACCACGCTCTACACACTGAACTTCGTCAGGATCCTCAGCAGGCCATGTCCTTTCTTACGTCAATGCCTTCGCTTGTGCTGTCTCTTCCATCTGGAACACCCTCTTCTCACTTGTTTGCCTGGCAAACTCCTCATCCTTTATGTCTCAGCTGAAACAATACCTCCTCTGCGAAGCTTTTCCTCCTTCCCCCAAAGGAACGTAGAGCTCCTTTCCTGCATTTCATGCCTCTGCCTCATTTCATGTGCACTCCCATCAAAGCTGTATTTTAAGGACCCATCTGTTTCCTTCCTGAATTATAAGCTATTTGAGGGCACAGGACCTCTCTTTCCACCTTTATCCTCCCTTAGCACCTAGCAGAGTCCCCAGCACCTAGCAAGGTGCCCAGCACATCAAATAAAGTTCTCCAGAGACTAGAGCTCCTTTCATGACCTGTGCCCTGGACCAGTGATGCAGCTTCCCCAGCCCCATTTCTCCATCGATAACAAGCACTGGGGGCATCATCCCTTCCCTTCTCTACTGAGAGATGAAAACAAAGGAAAGCAGACATGGAAGTGTTTCAAATTGAAAAAGAAAAGGCGCTAATCAAAGTTTTGTAATATTCCATTTGTACCCACGGTGTACAATGCTTCCTCTCCAAGTCTCAGTTTCTTCAGCTGGGAAATGGGTCTAGAGGCAAGCTGCACCAAAGACAGGAACTGTGGCTGCTTCCCCTCCCTGCTGTATCCCCATCTACACTGCTCTTTACTCTCGGGTAAATTCTCTGATGTTGGTTGGTGAAGACCCTGAGGGAAATTCTTCCACATTCTTTGGATTCATGGTTCTCTCTAATGTACACGCCGATATTGGGTATCGTCTTGAGAGGAGGGTTCCCCACAGTCACCTTCTCTGTAACTGAGCTCTGTGACACTGAGTCACATGTGCCTTCCAAGCCTCCAGACTCACCTGAGGGTTCTCCCGCGGACGTCAGATACAGGTTTCCCTCCAGCAGGAATTCTCTGATGTGTATGGTGGTTGCATAAAGATGGTGTATAAAGGAAGGCTTATTCACATTTATTACACTTACGAATGTTTTTTCCTGTTTGAATTCTCTGATGTGTAATGAGAAGTAAAAGACTAATGGAGGTCTCAATAAAGTCCTATTACGTCTCCAGCCCTGGGCTGAGGGGCTCCAAGATATAAAGAATGGCCTCTGCCCTTTAGACACTCGCCAACTGACTTGGGGGACAAAATTCACGTACATGAAACAGCTGGGGAACACAAGGCATTGTGTAGTCATGCCAAGCTGTAGAATTTAGCAGAATTCAATGGGAATTCAGAGAAAGAAGCAGACAACTAGAGATTGACCAGATGGGAAACATGCATGGAAGAGGTGAGCCTGTAGCTCCACCTGAAAGGATGGTAGAAATGGTAGAATTGACATATCAGAAATTGACACATTGTAACTGACTATACTTCAATTAAAAAAAAAAGAAATGGTAGAACTGAGGCTGGAAGAGAGAAGAGGAAGGTGTTCCCATTGAAAAGGGGAGGGAGGAAGAAGGAGGGAGGGAGGAAGAAGGAAGGGAAAGAAACTCAAATGTAGGAATTTGCCCCTTGATTTAGGAAACTACCACAAATTTAAGGCAACAGCCTTTGAAAACTGTGTTTCTCTAATGCTTTTCTTGTTTTAGAGCTCAAGCCACTTTCATTTCTACCAGACACACCTAAAAAGGAAAGCTCCATCACTGCATTTTATATGCCAGCACCGCCCCCGCCCCCGCCCCCCCCAGCATTCTTGGGGCCCATTCCACTTCCACAACCTGGAGTGTCACCCCCAGGGTGACAGAGGCACCAAAGCGGGGAGAGAACCCCACCTAAGAGAGTTCCAGGAAAGCACCCCAGAGGCTTATATTCAAGCAGGTGGGAGCTCTCTGTCCTCCACCCCACCCCCGCACCCCCACCATCACTTCCTCTAAAAAAATTTCCATATGGAATACTGACACTTAGAATGAAGGCCATCAGATCCAAAGGCCTTTCACGTGATCATGTTAGTTTTATAGAAGTTTTGTGAAAACACTCGGAGTTTTCTTGTTTTCCCCATTCCACAGAGGGCGGCAAATGAGCCAGAGGGTGGAACTTGCAGTGTCTTGTCTTGGTTAGACAGTTGGAGGACTTTTATGCCAATTACAGTGCTTAAACACTGACTCAACATCCAACAACTGCGTGAGGGGTTAGAGCCTTCATTCATGGACAAGTTTCAAAATGAAACACAGGGGCACCACTTCTCATGGGCAATGTAGTCAGAGAACAGAGCAGAGTGTGGATTTCATCCTCAACAAGGTGGCTGCTTTCTGGAGAGGTGGCAGAATCTGGTACTTCCCAGCACAGTGAAATTGGGAAATGCCTTTTGCAGCCCTTCTCAGCTTCATTGCCCATATGGTTTGTTTGTACGTGGAGTTTTAGGCTCTTAATTCCGTCCCTGCTTCCTGTGTCCACTTCCTTAAGAGACTGAATTCAAGAAGGGTGGGGCCTCGCTCCCCTGCCCCCATCTCGGGGGAGAACAGATTGGGAGCTGGTGCCTTGTGGGTCTTACCATGTGGACATCCTGTTGGAACAGTCTCCACTCCTCCCCAGCACGGCACGCTCTGCAAAGAATCCAGGCAGGAAGTAAAAGAGGTATTTGAGGACACGGTGAAAATGCCCAGACTCCCAGGGACCCTAGGTGGTTGTCCAGTCAGACCGCATGCCCCATTTTCATCATTAGTGTCTGTCCTGCCTGTTGGTTCATGGGCTTCCCCAGGACAGGAGGCCTGTCTGCCGTTGTCACCATCAGAGCCATCTCAGTCCCTGTCACAGCGCCTGATACACAGCAGCTGGTAGTAAATATTTGTTGAATAAACCAACTATAAATGTGGAAGTGATTCCCTTAAAGAGCTCTCTGCTCTGGTCCAGACGTAGAGTTACACTATTAGATGGGGGCACGGGAAGGGACACTGATAGGTAATAAAAAGAGCTAGAAATGAGTGGGAGGGCTTTGGAAAATAGCCCCCAAATTCCAGGTGTCTCTGCCAAGCAACAGGGGACACTGAGGTTCTTCAGCTCATGGACAGGAGGAAGAGGCAGGCGCGGGTATTGCAGGGTGTATTTGGTCTGGAATAGGGTAGGGTCCCTGGAAAAAGTGCATCTTGGAGCAGCCTAATCCTAGTGGCAAGCTCACAAAATGACTTAGGTGGCTGAAGGGTGAATGTTTCAGCCAGGTGAGTGTCAAGAAAGTGGTAAGAAAGGATCTGCTGTATAGCACAGGGAACCATATTCAATTTCTTGTAATAAAATATATGGAAAAGAATCTGAAAAGAAAAAATATATATGTATGTATATGTATAACTGAATCACTTTGCTGTACACCTGAAACTAACATTGTAAATTAATTACACTTCAATTAAAAAAGATTTTTTTTAAAGCAGCAAGAATTCCAGGAGCGTTGCTCCTGTGTGAACTCAGAGCTGGCGGTTGAAACAGAAGCGAGGGCCTGAGCTCACGGCCACAAATGGCCAGGGAGGAAGAAGATGCCTCGGGACTCAGCCCAGGATGCTGGCATTGCCCTGTGTAAAGTGGGGCCGAAACCAAACAGGAAAATGTCTTTCTCCAGAGAGCGTCTCCTGAGGGCAGCGCCACACCTGAGGCATCTCCACCCAAGGCTCCAAGCACAGCACCTTGAGTAGCTACTTATTAAATTCTTGATAAATTGAGAGCTTGGCTGGTTGGCCGACTCTGGGAGGCACTGAGGAGGTGAGAACTTGTGGAGGTCCCGAAGCCCTGTTGACTGACTTCTCTCCTCCAACGTCCTCAGCCTCTCTTCCATGTTGTCCCACCTCAGCTAGAAGCCAGAAGATGCAGTCAAAGATCGCTGCTCTCTAGATGGACAGCGCAAATGGGGAACGTGAGTCTAGCACCTATCAGCTGGGTCTCAGCCTCAGCTGGTGGGGCCACTCCCTCCCTTCTCCTTGGGTTCCCCACTGCCGGCCGGCATCTACTCAGTGGCCCCCTTGCCCTACCCCAGCCCCAGTCGTCAGGTTGTCATTCACATCTCCTCCTAGTCAGTCTTTCTCTCTTTGATCTCATCTGGGCAGGCAGGGACATGTCACCAACGAAAGCCTGGCGTTAGCAAATGTACACACACACA